CAGGAGTGAAGGGAGTTCAAAGTAAGTTGAAGACAGGGGAGGGTGGAGCTCCATAATGGAGGGCCTCAAACCTCAAAGCAAGGTGAGATTTCACCCTGCAGGAGGCTTGGAGCAATCAAGGCTTTTCAGTAAAGTAGATGTGTGAATTGAAAAGAGATTCCATGGGTCTTCCCCCTGGTCAGCAGAAGAGCTGAGGTCAAGCTGTCACAGGGCCTTCTGGATCTCTTGTCACCTTTTTGTGCCACTTAAAGAGTGCAAGGCTTGAGAAAAAATTTTCAGCTGGGGAGGGGGGACCGACTGATCTGAACAAGAGGATTGCTTGTTTTCAGTATCGCTTGCATTTGGCATTGAACTTCCTGAAGTGGGGGAGTGACCAGGTAGCTTTAGAGAGCTTCCTTCCAGCCTCCAGGATGCTGACTCAATGACTCAGCAATGGAGGGTTTTGCAATAGGCTCACAGAACCAGACCAGCTTGCTTTTCCTAAGGAAGCCTTGGTGTCCTAAGAAAACCTCAGCCTGGGTCCCTGCCCTGCCCGGTTGAAATTCCTTCTCTCTTCTGTAGCATGCCTGTAGCACATGCTCTGTAACCAGCACTGGGGAATCCAAAAAGGGCTTTGGAATCAAGTCAGATTTCAGTGCGAAGTCTGGCTCTGCCTCTAACCACTTGTGTGACTTTCAGCAAGTTATCTAACCTCTCCCAGTTAAAGTTTCCTCATCTATGAAACAGGGACAATAACTACTTTGCTGAGTGGTTATAAATATCACAGGAGACAAGTATTAAATGGCACACAGCTGGTATCTTATATATGTTTTTTCTATTACAACATGCATAATATTTCTACAAAGAAAACTAGTTGTGTCTCTTGGGTCCACCCTAAAAAAAAATCAGATTTCTTGACTTTCCAACTACACCTTTCCCTCTGGCCTCATCCTGACATTTGAGTCCCGAGGTGGATGTGCTCCCAATAGTACGTGCACCTGACTAAGAAGGGTTCAGGGAGAAAATTCTGTTGCCCCAAAGATGGACTAAACCAAAAGACCATTCATTGTCACTTTGCCAGATCTGTTCCCTCAGAAAAAATAGAAGAGATGGGGAATTTTGGTGTAAAACAAGAAAACATAGCCAGAATTTTTAAAAATAAATCTGTTTTCCAAACACTTTTCTAAGATATCTCATCTACTTACTTTTATTTAAAAAACACTTATAAAAAATAAAAATAAAAACACTTATATAATGCTTACCATGTGCCAGACATAGTTCAAATCATTTTACAAATATTAATTCATTTAGCCCACATAACAACCTTATGAGGTAGATGATTTATCCCAGTTTGCAGTTGGGGAAACTGAGCCACAAAAAGGTTATGTATACAACTTGCTGAAAGCCACACAGATATGTGGGTGACTTGAAGCCCAGGTATTGCCAGGGGAGTAGAAAATTGTCACACAAAAATTAATGGAGGCTGGGTACAGCGGCGCAATCCTAGCACTTTGGGAGGCTGAGGCGGGAAGATTGCTTGAGGCCATGAGTTCGAGACCAGGCTGAACAAGAGTGAGAACCCTTTCTCTACTAAAAATAGAAAAATTAGCCAGGAGTCAGCATGTACCTGTAGTCCTAGCTATTTGGGAGGCTGAGGCAGGATTGCTTGAACCCAGTAATTTGAGATTGCAGTGAGCTACAATGACACCACTGCATTGTAGCCTGGGTGACAGAGCAAGACCTTGTCTCAAAAAAAAAAAAAAAAAAAAAAAAATTAATGGAGAAGAGAGCCCATCTAAAATGGTTTCTTTTGACAAAAGATTCAGTTATTATCACAGCAACTTTAAACTTAGGTGAATCATCAACACTGTCATCCATCAAATAAGCTGATGAGATACCTAAACCCTGCTTCCTAGGTGAACTATTGTGAGCTACCTCACTGTGGTCCCCCTTGATTTTTTTGTTATTGTTGTTGAGACACTGTCTCACTATGTCCCTGGGTAGAGTGCATTGATGTCTTTATAGCTCACTGCAAGCTCCAACTCCTGGGCTGTAAGTGATCCTTCTGTCCCAGCCTCCTCGGTAGCTGGGACTGCCAGTGCACGCTATAACACCCAGCTGGGTTTTGTTTTTTTCTTTTTTTCTTTTTGGTAGAAATGGGGGGGGGGGTTCACTTTTGCCCAGACTGGTGTTGAACTCCTGAGCTCAACAATCCTCCCACCTTGGCCTCCCAGATTGCTAGGATCTGGCTCAGCCACTCTTCCCTTGATTGAGTCCTTTTGACAAACATTTGCTGGGCGACCATGTGCTAGGTGTGGGAAATTCCAACGTAATGATAACAAGTTCTAGGCTCAAGTAGCTCACAGTCTAGTGGGGAAAGTGGAGAGATGAACCAGTAGTCACATATGCGAGGCTCACCTTCTCTCAACTCAGAACTGGAGCCAGCACATTTATTTGCATGACTGACAATTGCCACGAACCGTCTACTGACCAATGATGCCTTTTGCTCTTTGCCTGGTTCCCTCCTTCACATCTCCCTCTTGTCTCTCTTCATTCTTTGGACTTCTTGTCCTTTTCCCCTATCCTTCTGCTTTTCTCACCCACAGACATTTCCAGGGCCTCTCCCAAGCACTTGTTCTCTGAGCCTCTGTGTCCTACGAAACCCTGACACAGACCTACTCAAACTCACAGCAGGTTATTTAGCCTTGTGACACTGGCATGTCCTTTTTATGACCTCCGCAGTGAATGGAACATCCCAAGGTGTTCCCCTTTCACATGGGGTTTGGTTGGGGATACTAACATCAGGAATGTTTCAGGGAGGAAGGTATCAGAGGTATCAGGGAGAGCAAAGTCTGAGGACAAAGCTGTAAGCTCCTTCGTGCTTTCAGCCTCCTAAACACCACTGTTGCATCAAATCTCCCCTTAGCAGAGCCCAGACAGAGTTACTGGGGAAAGTGCAGCAGCCAGAGGGAGTGGAGAAACTGCTTTGTTTGGGATTCTGAGAAAGGGGACCCAGGAAGGAGCTGGTGATGAAGATGGGCAGACGCCCTCCTGCTAATACTGCTTGTTACCCATGAACAAGCCTGCGACAAAAGCATCTTTAAGAGAAGACCCCTATCAAAAGAAGCTTCTCTTCTAGTAACTCCATCATCCTCTCCCACCTCCCCCAAGAGACTTGAAGTCCTGTCCTTTTCAGAATTCAGTTACGTCTGGGTCTGTTAGTGATGTTTCATGCTTTAACTCATTGGAAGGTAGTGGAACCAGATGGCTCTGTCTCCTTTTCTGCGGCTCTGTGCTGGTCTCAGAACAGGGTCTTTGCCTTCCTCTGTTTCACTCATTTATCTACCCAGAAATCCACCCATCAAGCATTTGCTGGGCTTCTAGTTTGTGCAAAGCTCTCTACTGGCTAATTTAGAGGAGATACAAGATGAAGAAGACATGCTGAATGCTTTCAGGAACTTGCAATTTGTGGAGGAGACACATCTAAACATAATGCAATAAATACAGACAGAAGAGATTTTTATAGAACTTGGATGGACTTTTCTCTTTTTCACTTTCAAAGTGATATGGTTCTTTTTGTTTGTTTTTTATTTATTTGTTATTTTTTTCTCTAATCCCATGACACATTATCAAAGTGATGTGGTTCTTTCAAAACAGGCCTCCTACAGCTAGGCACAGTGGCTCATGCCTGTTTTTCCAGCTACTTGGAAGGCTGGGTGGGAGGACTGCTTGAGCCTAGGAGTTTGAGGCCAACCTTGGCAACATAGCAAGAACTTGTCTCTAAAAAATTAAAGAACAAAAACAAAAACAGGCCCCCTACATCTGATACTTTTTTCTCCTCTTTGAACTCCAGGAAGTCCAAGTTGATTCTTTAGGAGGGGTTGGGACAGGCCAGGAGACAGGAAAAGACTTTGGGATCAGGATAGACACCTCCAATCCCAAGATTTTCAATCAGCAGAGAACATGTACTAGGGTCAGAGTCAGGCCTGGCTCAGTGCCACACCTTAGTACCAACAGAGACTTGTAATAGCCTGGATGACAGCAGCAGAGGGAATGTTTACTTTTCTTGGATTCCTTTGCACAATTTACTGCCCTTTCCTCAAGAGTATGACAACTGAGAGCATTCCACAAATCCTGAACACTCTGCCCTTTAAGAATCTCATCACTGGATTAGCTGATCTTAGGTAAAAGATTTAGGAAAGGAACAGGAGAGGACTGGTACACAGAATGAACAATCGATTTCGAGATAGTATTTTGTGGCAGGCAGTCATGGTATTTGGTACATAGCTTTCAAACCAAATGGTAAATAAGGAATATTCAGGGTAGATTCTCTATCTTTTCAAGCAGGTCTGGCAAGGGTTACAAAGTCATTCGAGGTCAAATGGATGATAGAAGCCTCCATACAGCTGAGTCCAAGACATGAACCACCAAATATTCTTCCTTATTTAACTAGGGGATCTATTGATTTTATCTGGGAATGTTCGAGAAAGGCTGAAGAGAGAACATATGCTCCACCTGAGAATTGAAGAATGACTAATTCACAAGGTGCACAAAGTGGGGAAAGGAATTCTAGATAAAAGGATCGAGGTAGTGGAAGGGCTGGGATGGTGGGACTGAAGGTCTAGAAGCAGTGTGAGAAGCTGCTTCTTGGCAAGAAGGATTTCCAGGTTTAGAGCCTGCAGGGTCTGTATTAATGGACAGTGGGGTGCTAGTGGCGGCATACTGGGGTGGGGAGGGAGCTGAAGGGAAGCCCAGACACAGGACTCCCAGGGGTGGGAAGAGGCCAGGGTCTCCAGTGTTTCCTCTCTCCAGTGGGGGGAGTGTTTCTGGGATAAGATGCTTCACAGGAATGTGTTACAAAAGGAAGTTTGGTAGAAGATACACTTGCAACCCAGGGGAGCCCAGCAACAACTCTGATCTGATGGCTTCCGTGCTTCCTCTCCTTTGGGTGGTTCAGTCTTCTCCGGGCCCTTCCTCCCCAACCCAAGACTAAAATTGCTGAAGAGATTTGCCTTGGGAGTCATTTCTCTTTTATTAAGGTACCACCTGGAAACACAGAACAAACTACAAATCCACACAGAATAAATTATGAAATTCATATTTAAAAGTAGGTGATAGAAGAAGCTGTGCTGCCAGGAGGCCCTCCTGGCCCAGTGGCTGGAGAATCATGGGGTGTCGGCAGCCTCGAGAGTCCACGATGAATCTGTAAGACATTTAAAGCCAAATGCCTCCTCTGAGCATATCTAACAAGGCCCGAACTCCTTCACACAAACACGTGCACACCCACGGATGCACACGGGGGACTGGGGACAGGGGACGGCGTGTTCACGACAACCAGCTCCGCAGCAAGCAAAGCGGCCCCCGCTGTGCTCTCTCTGTGGCTTTGGTGGCAGCGAAGTTCCTGGTGCTCATCCTTTGCAAGCTCCCTGGCTCCTGCGGGAGGGGAGGTGCGGGTGTGCCCCGTGGCAGTGGGAGGTGGAGACCTGATCCCAGAGGGAAGAACCGGTTTTGTCACCCTGGACTGCAGTTCTCATCAGGCCTTGCTTTATTATCTGGCTACCAAGCCTGCGTGCCACTCCCAGAGGGAGTGAGGAGTCGTGTCCCCAGGGAAACCCCCCAACTTGGAGTCCCAGGAGCTGTGTGTGAGTCCTCTATCGGCCACTCTCCAGCAGTGTGACAGACACCGGGGGAAGTTATGTCCTTCCTCTAAGCCTCATGTTCCCCATCTGTAAAAATGAGAGCATCTACTTCACAGGGTTATCCTAAGGAATCACTGAAATTCGACATAGCCAACTACTGTGCCAGGCTCAAGTTAAACGTTCAAACCCTCTTTTGTGTCCTGTCTTCTTGCCCCCATTTCTTCCTACCAGTTTCCCCATCTGGCTTCCAGGCTTATGTGTCTGTTGGTAGTCATGTGATCCCAGTGGCACCCAAAGCACCTTTGGAATAGTAGGGCCTCCCCTCCCGGCCAGAGACTGCCGGTATGCCCTTCCCCCAGCCCAAAACTGCACCACTGGGAGAGTCAAAGGGTTGGGCCATAAGACCAGGGCACAGTCTGGGTCTCAGGCACTACTGAGCCCAGGAGAGAGATCTGGGGTGCCTGTGGGTGCCTGGAAATCTGGGTGTCTCAGGGATAACGGTGAGGTGACGTAATAGTGGAAAGACGTGAATAAGAAATAGTGGTGTCGTGGTGGCTCTGAGCTGAGTCTGGCCAGAAGCTGGAATCTAGGTGTGGTGCTCTGCACAGCCTTCAGCGGAAACAAAACCACCACCTTCCAGGATTTAGGAGACTTATATTCCGGGCAGGTCTGTCTACCAAAAAGCCAGTTGGACCCCACGACTCAGGTTTTACAGAAATTTCCCATCCATTTCTCCATCTGTCTGTCCTCCTAGCCACCTACCTGGTGTATATTAATAGTTTTATAGAATGCAGGCTGACCCGGATGGAAAACCCTATGTGTTCATTTAGCACCTTTCATCTAAGGAGTCAGTATCTTTTATAGTCACCCAACTGGAGTCTTTTACAGTGATGCTGTGAGGTAGTAACGAGACAGGCAATACCCTTCTTTTTATAGATCAAGAAGTGCTCACAGTGACACAGTGAGCATGGCCAGGGCACAGCTGAACACGTTATGAGCTGGCTGAATGCAGGGCACTGGTCTGTTCCCTGAAGACCAGACACTGGCTGTCCGCCTGCGGGCCTTGTTACGGCCTCTCCTGCACTGGCCTCTGTCTCCAGACCTAGCTCTGCTGCTTTTCACACCAGTGTGGGCTTCAAGTCATCTTTGAAGTTCACGATGGGCTTGGAGCGGGCCCACAGCTTTTCCCAGGAAGCCAGCCCCCTGGCAGGCTCGGGCTCAGTGTCTGATGTGTCACTAGAGTCAGAGGAGCTCTGGAAGCAGATTTCACAGTAGGGCCGGTGGCAGCGGCAGAAGAACTCATCTGAGCTGCTGGACTCAGTGTCCAAGTAGTCGTACTGAGAAGACAGGGAGGGACAGCGTGGGGATGCTGGGGGCCGCAGCTGCCACTGCCCTGGCAAGTCTGGCGAGGCTCTGGGTAGGCGTGGGGCAGCAGGACTCTGTGCCCGGCCAGAACCAGAAGGCTGGTAAGGAAAGGCTGCATTGCTCCCTCCAGCCCCCTGCGGATCTCTCTGGCTTTGTTTGTTGCCCTCCAGGGTGCTCAGCCCGCCTTGAGGATCCGGAAGTAGAGAAGGCTTCCTGGAAGAAGGTCTAGTAACCCCGGAGTCAGCAGTTTGGGGAGCCAGGCTGGGGCTGTCCCCATTCTGCACCTTCAGCCCACTTTGTGCCCCAGAAATAGGCCTGTTTGCCTGACGCCCCACATAGGAGGGTACAGAGCCAGGAAGGCATGAGCAGGCCTGCCGAGCCGCCCGCCTTCTCCTAACCATGTAGGGGCTGAAGCCCAGCTCCTTGCAGAGGGGCATCTTCTGGGGTCTGAAGGCAGCATTGATCTTCCAGGGCTGCTGGGGATGAGACGGGGAGGAGGGGAGTGGAGCCTCGGGACCCAGGCCCAGATCTTGTAAGACTTCCTGAAGTTTCTCCCTGATCACTGAATTGACCCTTGACAGCCGCTGCGGGGGCTCCTCTGAGTTCTCCAGCTGCCTCTGTCTCTGAGTATCAGAGCCCCCTCTACCTTGTAGGAGACCGTGGCTGGGGGCCATGGGTACCTGCTCTCCTCTTTCTGTATTCTGGCTTTGCTCAGCCTGTGGCTTCTGGCTACACCTTGAGTCTAAATGATCAGAAAAGTCTTTTAAGTCAGACATCTTCTCCTGCTGTCCTAGGGCGGGGCTGGTGTCCTTCTCAGGCCCCTCAAGGCTCTGCACACCTAAGGAGGGCACCGAGCCACGCTGGGAGTCCTGGGCGGCCACGCCGGTATCATTCTGAGAGCCAGTGGGGCATTCCAAAGGCCGCTGGGCAGAGGATGCCGTCTGCACGTCCTTGCTCTGGGAGGAGGCAGGTGGGGCAGCCCATGCTGGGAGGTCGTAGTTGCACTCAGCAGACATCAGCCTCATTAGCTTCTCTTTGGCATTGTTTACTTGTTCCTGCAGGCTTTCAATCACAGCATTTTTCTGTAAAATAAAAGTAAAAACATTAACGAAAGATGCTGCTGGGGGTTCCATACTACCTCCCAGGGTGGAGAAAATGAGGCTTCAGAAGACCTTGGTTTAAGTTCTAGTTCTTCCAATGTATTGGCTGGTGGCCTCAGGCTCTGAGGCGGTACCTCTGCCAGGTGAAATGAGTTGATACGCACAATAACTGCAGGGATGAGGCTCAATGAATAGCCACAAATTATTGTTGTTGTCTTCATCTCCCCTTGTACCCCAGGCAGTGGAGTCACAGCCAAGCTGCTTGGGTGCACACACCCCCCTCCTTCCCCAGAACTCAGGGGGTCAGGTCATTCTGCAAGACACCAGCCTGAATGATGTCTGTGACTGTTCAGCTCGAGGTTTATCACGCTTGTGTAAAATACAGACAAATCTGAAGCATATCCCAGGGGATGAACAAATGGGGAAATAAGTATTTTGGCTCTTGCTAAACAGCCTAGAAAATGGAAAGAACAGGGAAAAGGGTGGAGGTTCCTGGGCCCAAACACATAAGACTGGAGCCAGGAGGGGCCAAAGAGAATCTCAGGTTGTTGTCATCACCTCCCTAGGCTGGACATCTGGCGGTGAGAGGCCAAAGCTACCATAGGCAATACTGGCTGTCAGTATCTCCTAAAGAATTACATGCATCAGAGCTATTGGAGAAACTTAAAAAATATATATTTATGTTGGGCCTAAGTCCCTGACAGCTTGATTCAACAGACCTAGAATGGAGTCCAGCAGATGAATGAGGCTGGAGCAGTTCTGCTACTGAAGTGCTTACCTGCTGCACAGGTGTTAGCTGATCAACAGGCTATGCCCAGGAGGGCTGGCAGATGACAGCTGCAGAGATGCATCTGTCCTAACTGCAAGTTCTGGGGCACAAAGTAGGAGAAGGAGGGTTGGCAATGGGTGTACAGGGAATGACTAAAGCCGGACATCTTTCCTTCATGCAGCAGCTGATTCTCTAGCTCAGACTGCGTGTCCACCTTTGGAAATTTCTTATGCTTAAAGGCAAAGGAGCAGGGATGAGAGCTTGTGGGCAACAGCTGGTCTTGGGGCAGATGACATGGCATTAAGGGTTTGTGGAAGGCAAAAACATAAGCATATGTTCTAGGGAGTCTTGTCTGAACACCAAAATGCTGCCTCTTTGCTGTCATGCCCTTTAGAAACTGAGGATGAACATTTGGACATATTAATACATTAGTGATGCCCTAGAAACAAAAGGATGTCCCCTTTTTGGGATAATTAATACAAGCTGCTTGTGGATTGAACCTGTGGTTTCTTCTCAAGTTTTTTACATGGGAGAGTTGCCCAGAAATGATCCTTTCTGGATCTTTAGGGATCCAGATCTAAGGGAGCAGTAGCTTCAGTAAAATAGTCCAGTATTCTGACTAGCAACTCCCCAGGCCGACCCACTGCTCCCCACGTATGATCAGGAAGGATTTTTCTGACCGTCAGTATTCCCAGTTTCACCCTGGTTTAAGTCGACTTCTTTACCACCAGGACACAGGCCAGGAGCAGTGAGTGAGGGATGAATAAGGCGGAGGGGACTTTCAGCAGCTGAGCGCCCGCATGCCTGTTCTCCCCAGCTGCGGAGCGGGAAGGTCCGGGTGTTGCTGGGTGAGGGCAGATGACTCAAGGACTCGCTAGGAGCAGCGCGGATGAGTAACAGGAGACACTCGGCCTCTTCAGCATACCTGGGCTGTGCCTGCTCTCTCTCCCCCCAGGATCTCATGGGGTGACTGTGATGGCTGCACAGCAGGGACCCCAAGTCCCTCCTCCTCCCCAAGTCCCTGCTCCTGAAGCCCACCCTGCGCAGTCTCACGCTGGCTTCCCAGGCCACCATTGCCTCACAGAGTTGGGAAGAAGCCGTCAGCTCATGACAAACGCTCCAGCCAGTGAAATCAGAGAACTGCGTTTTTGTGCTTCATCCACAAACTCCTTTGAGTATAGAAAAACAGCATAAACACTGAGTTGGGAAGAATATTCTTCTCCCAGCAAACCAAACATCTGAAGCTGGCTGCCGACAGACTTAGAAATGTCAACCTAAACAGTCAATTTCCCTTCTTCCAGAAAAGGAAGTGGGGCTGTTATTCTCATGGCTGCATACTAACAGAGGCGTGGCATGAGGCCCTTGTGAGACCAAATTCTGACCTGCGGTGGCAGCTGCATCGCAATGAGCTTGTTAATGATTACTTTTGGCACACTGTGGGAAGCAAAATGATCACTGGCATGGTTCACAGGGTGCAGGCCGTAAGCAGAAATGGAATCTTCCTCTTGTTTCTATGGTTCAAGGAAGAAAAGTAATGGGTGGGTTTCCTTGGCTGTACAAGGTAGAAGGATCTGTCTGCTGGCCTTCGCTCTGACAGGGAAGTCAGTGACAGATGCCACCCCAACCAGCTTCTAGGGGACCCTTGGCCACAGGGGCAAGAGAGGCAAGAATGAGAAGATAGACAGCCCAGCCCATGAGAAAGTAAAAGGAAGGGCACGGGGGTGGCTGAGGGGCTGCATAGGAGGGAACTGCAAGCCGTGAGCTGGGCCAGGTTTGTGCACATACTGAGGCCGGGAGGGATTTGTATCTAATGGGCAGCACTGGAGCTGGGGACGCAGCTACTGGATCCTCTCTAGGCCTGCCACGGGGCCCCAGGACTGGCTGCTGGTTCTCGGGCCTGTTCTGTGGAAGGTGTTCCAGGTGTGGCGCGTGCTGGGAAGGCCAGCTTTTTACTGCCTGTGCGTCTGTACCCATTGAGGGCCCTTCCTCTGGAGACTCAAAGCATCGTTTTGAATAGAGCAGACTGAGTCCCTGCGTGGGAAGCAGGGCAGCGTGGCAGAAGCACAAAAAGCACGTCGCACATTACCATAAGGCTAAAGAGTCAGTCCACTTGGCTGTTCCAGCATTAACTGATCGTGAATGAAAACCATCCTGGCTGTTCTAGCCAAGTTTCTGGGCTCCTGTTTAGCTGCGAAAAAAATGCTTCTTTGATACTTCACAGAGTATCAAAGGCAATGCTACTCCCTTGCCAGGTGGGCAGAAATCTGGCTTTGAAATAATGTCCTGAATGCTTCATACCTAGTAAAGAGAAGGAGAGGTAGTGCTCTGATGGACAAAAAATGTCCAGAACCAAGGGGACATTGTGGGAGAGTAGGGGGCAGGGACAGTGGTGCCTAGGCAGACTGGGCCCCTGCATCTGTTGTGTTTCATAGGTCCCCATCACACCATCCTCTCACCAGGGACTGTTAACACCCAGGTGGCAGTCCCATTACAATAAAACAGTTTCCCAAATAGCACCTACTTAGCTATGTTCTGAACTGAAGAAAATATGGAATGTAATTCAATTAGTGTCAAAATACTGACTAATTCCTCTGGGCCCTGTGCCTTCTTTCTGAGTCAATGCAGCCCTCAAGCTTTTCCACGTGCTTCTTCAAGCCTGCACAGCACTGCCTGAGTCTGGGAGAGGGGCCAGCTCTGGCTCCAGCACAGAAGAAAGAACAACTAGGGGCTGCCTGGTTTCCCTTGGTGCTACAAGAACATGCAGAAGCCCTTGGTTAGCCCCCCTTGGTTAGTCCCCTTCTCCATCTGTAGGTATGTCTGGACTCAGTGGGCTGATTGGATGATTGAAATCTCTAGTCAGCACCTGAGAAAGAGAGTCAGGGTTCCATAAAATCTTGGACATGAAGGCACTACTCTATGTGAAGACAGCGTCACCCAGAAGCCAGTGTCCACTACAGCTCAGGGCCTTTACAATGCTGTTCCTCCTTCTTGGAATGCTTTTCCCTGTACTCCTTGCCTGACCAACCACTTTGTACTTAACCTTCAGCTGTCAGCTCAGAGAATCTTTTTTGACTGCTCTATATTAGGTTCCATTGCCCTTACCACCCTGATTTTTTCCTCCATAATTTATGTTTATGTTCCATATCATTGTTCCTTATCACAATTTATATGTTTGTTTCCTCCACTCAACAGTGAGCTTCATGTGGGTAGGAACTAAGATTTTGTTCATCAGCACTTGGCACAATGCCTGGCACACAGGAGTGACTCCACATATCTCTGTTCACTGAATGAATGAGGTGGATGGGGAAGTGCTGAGGCTTTGCTTGCTGTTCAGGGAGGTGGGAAGATGGAAGGAAGAGAGGATGAGAGCAATGAGAGCATCTGGGGGCCACCGATGCAGCGCTGAAGTTCTTTGCAGGGAATCCGCCAGGCAGGGTGTAGCTTACTTCCGTGAGGAGCCTCTCCATGGAACTCTTCTCTCCTCTCGGGTGGCAGTTCTGTTCCTCACCACACTGGGTATGGAAGCTTTTGCTGGGAGTGCTGAAATATTTGGCCATGCGTCTGATTGTTTGGTTTTCCTCTTCAAATGCCTTCCATTGCTTCAGCTGTTAGATAAAAGAACACACGTTACTTATTTAATTACACACCAAGAAGCACATTCTCTCACTCTTTGTCATTAACACCAGGGAATGACACTGTCACAGATACACATGTGCGCAAGCTGTCCTCTCCTCAGAACGCACTTTACTCTGGAGAGCTCGCAGACAGTAATGACAGAAGGTACAGAGAACGTTAAGGTTGGATAGTTTTAGAAAACACCAAAGGAAGATGACAGGTAGGTGAAATACAACAACCTTAGCCCATCTACCTACCCCTTGCCAAGCTGATCAAAGAAAACCAGAGTTGAACTCTCCTTCCAGAGCCATATTCTAAAGCCAGTGTTTGGGAGCTATCACAGGGTTAAGCAATCTAAACACCATATATTTCCAGTGAAACCATTTCTAGTTGTGTGCAACTGTTCTTAATTATTTTTCGTTTGTTCACTAATGGTGTGCTAACTTCTACTGAAACCCCAGTTCCTTGCTGGTGGACTTCTAACACAAGTCAATTATTAAGGCTCAAAAAGAGAAGCACAAATGTCAATACATATGATAGAACATTAGGTCTGAGATCTGATTCTCTTTTTTCCTTGACAAACGAAGGATTCAAAGGGAATGTGACTGCCTAAGCTCACAAAATGAGTTATCAGAAGAACCCCAGCTGTAACCAGGGCACCGTGCCCCACCTCATGTCCTCACACATGAAGAGAGAGACTGTTCACTGCGGGGGGGTCCTCGGGAAGGTTCTTCAGATGGAGCTGAACACCTACGCTAGCCAGGTGGAGTCAAGTCAGGTACTCTGTGGCTAAAGCTCCCCACCTCCCTCAATTCCTTCTTTGTGAAGATGCTGGTCTTGAGAAACCGGTCTTGAGAAACAATCTGTGGAAGTGTGGGCTGATTTAGTTTAGCAGGGATGGGGCTGAACACAGAACACTCACACACAGGTGTCCTCCCAAGCCTTTGGGACGCTGTCTCTACCTGGGGAATTCCAGATGTGACTGACAGAGGAGGCCACAATGGTGGAGACTTCTTTTTTCCCTTAGAAATCTCCATAAGTAAATGTCCTAGTGGCAAATGCTGGGGACTCTGACACCTTAGTTCTAGAAATGATGCTGAGGTATCCATGGGTAGCCTTGAAAGGAACCTGGAATTTCCCTGTTCACTCATCAAACATTTATTACCTCTGACTATGGGGTGTAACCCAAATTCCATAAAGCTTAGATGGAATTCTAAGTCCTACCATCAATTTCAATACCACATTCTCACCCAAGTCCCCTTGGGTCCTCTGCTGACTCAGCATGAGTCCTTCATGGTGTCAGGAGCCTGTGTGACTTGTGCAGGGTCAAGCTAGGAATGTCAACTCTCAGATGCCCTTCTGGAAGGCGCCCTCCCTTCTGAAGGATGCTGTCAGCTCACCACCCTACTCAGGAACCAGTGAAAGCCAACACCACACGGTCACTCTCTGGTCTTGGTGGATGGAGCAGACTAGGGTTACTCTCCTAGCACTGACCCTGGCAATGTTGCAGTGTTTCTGCTGCTGCTCAGCAGCTCCCTTCCTTAGCAGTACAGATTTTCCTTTTTCTTTTCTTTTTTGAGACAGAATCTTGCTTTGTTGCCCACGCTAGAGTGAGTGCCGTGGTGCCAGCCTAGCTCACAGCAACCTCCCAACTCCTGGGCTCAAGGCAATCTGCTGCCTCAGCCTCCTGAGTAGCTGGGACTACGGCATGCGCCACCATGCCGCCAGCTAATTTTTTCTAATATATATAGTTGGCCATTAATTTCTTTCTATTTATAGTAGAGATGGGGTCTTGCTCTTGCTCAGGCTGGTTTTGAACTCCTGACCTCGAGCAATCCGCCCACCTCAGCCTCCTAGAGTGCTAGGATTACAGGCGTGAGCCACCACGCCCGGCCCAGATTTTTTTTCTTTCCCCTAGCACCTCCAGTCTGAGGCCTCTCTGCAGGGCTGCTGGAAGAACAGCTCAGCATTGGCATAAGGGCACTTCCAGGGCCTTTGGGCCCTACGCTAGCCAGGTGGAGTCAAGTCAGGTACTCTGTAACTAAAGCTCCCCCCACCTCCCTTAATTCCTTCTTTGTGAAGATGCTGGTCCTCAAGACTTGACTTTTCAGAAGGACTGGCACATTCTGGCTTTCTCAGCCTCTGGGTTATGTGGGTATGGTAGGCTGAATAATGGCCTCTCTAAGATGTTCATTGGCCTCTAATCCCTGGAACCTGTGAATATGCTACCTTACATGGCAAAAGGAACTTTGCAAATGGGAACAAGTTCAAGATTTTGAGATGGGGAGATGAGTCTGGATTATCTAGGTGGGCCCAGTGTAATTACAAGAGGGAGGCAGGAGGGTCAGAGTCAGAGAAGGGGATGTGACAATAAAAACAGAGGTTAGAGAGTGAGATTTGAATATGCCACACTGCTGGCTCAGAAGTTGGAGGAAGGGACAATGAACCAAAGAATGCAGGTGACTTCTAGAAGCTGGAAAAAACAAGGAAACAGATTCTGCCCTGGAGTCTCCAGAAGGAATACCAATCTACTGACATCTTGATTTTAGCCAAATAAGACCCATTTCAGATTTTTGTTCTCCAGAACTGTAAATTAACAAATTTCAATTATTTTAAGCCACTAAAATTGTGGTAATTTATTACAGCAGCAATAGGAAACTAATGCAGTGGGATAATATGCGGAGTCTTTAACAGGACACTCCTGGGCCCTCAGAGGCTCCCCGTCTGTGCCCTTTCACCTCTTGTCATTCTCCCCTTATTTCTGTTTGTGCTCCAAACACACCCTATTCTCTCCCGGCCTCTCTGCCTCGGTTGTTATGTTATCCCATCTGAAATGCCACCCCCTGTCCTCCCCCCATCTGCTCAATGAACTCTTAGTATTCCTTCAGGACTGAGCTCAAATGCCCCATTTTCTGAGAAGGTGTCACCGAGTTCTCAGGCAGGCTGGGGAGGGTCTTCCCCAGAAAGTCCCAAGTGCCTTCCCGGAGGAGCAGATGAAACACTGTGGGGCTTAGAGAAAACAATGTGCTACCTCAGGACCTGCCTGCCTCTCAGAGGAAGTGGAGGGGTGGAGGAGGGGTCACATTCAGGTCACAAAAGCAGAGGCTGGCTGATTACTGCCAGTGCTTGGCATAAACACTCGGGCATTTCCTGAGGGCCTGTGTAGAATGCTTCTTGGTGCACCTGCCTCTTCAGTAGCGTCACCCATGTCACCCAGCTCTCTGGCGCCGCCTGGCTGCCCCGGGGGGCACCTGTGCCTTTGCTTTCACAAGCCCCTCCCATGGCATCCAGTCTGAAAGCTCAGTGGGAAGGGGGAAGCCCACCTTGCGGCAGACCTTCCTAACCCTCACGCGCTTTTCCAGATTTACTCAGCTGTCTTATTCTCCAGGGAACACACAGGGCAAGTCTCACAGGGAGATTCTTTCTCACCTCTGAGCCTGAGAGGAAGACACAAAAAACTGACAGACCTGTTACTTTTATATTTTGAAAAAGGACTTACCTCCTAAGCATCAAATACAGCAAACTATAAGATATATTTTTTGTTTCACATCATGGTCAGACATTCAAGAGGAGTGGGGGAAAAGCATGAGAGAGAAAATAGAAGAGAAAAGACAGAGTAAAGGAAAGGAAGCTCAAGAAAGCTAGCAGGAAAGGAGGTGTAGAGCCAGACAGAAGGGAAGAGATGGCCAACGCCGTCCATCCCCCACTCCTGTACCCCACAGTCACTCCATGTCCACTCCCATTCCAACAGATCAAGTGCTTGTGGCTTAGCGCAAACCTGGAAGTCAGATTTCAAGCTGTGCTTCTTCCTGCACTTTTGTGTGCAGATGAGAGTGCCCAGATGTCACTCCTGTCCTAGGTGCTGAGGATTTACACCCCAGAGGAACCAAAAGTATGTGGTGGAGGCTTGGGATGCCAGGAGGCAGTGGTGGGAGCCAGGGTGGACAGAGGAGCTGTAAGCAGGGCAACATCGTGGAGGTCACTGATTCACTTAATTTTCAGACATTGGTCTTGTTTGAGATCAGGAAGGCGTTCTGTTCCTCTCATAGTTCCTTGATGATCACTTCTGCCCCAGATTATTCTGTTTCTCTTTCAGAGACTCCTATTAACTTTCAATTGTATCCCTAGATGGTTTCCATAGTTTATTATCTAGTCTTTCATTTTTACCTGTTTTCTTGCTTTCTGTTTCCTTAAATGAATTCACTAATCCAATATTTTGCAGGGTCTAATTGCCTATTCAGTGCTTCTCTTGGGGTTTTAAATTTAATGCAAAATTTTTCATCTTATTCAATATTTCATTTCTAAGATTATGTTCATCATGGTTTGCTTTAGTTGAACAGAGGCAATATCTTCTGAATCCCATTGACAAGACAAATCAGATGTCTTCTAAAAACTTCTACTTCAGAGGAAGGCACCTTCTCTGAATCATGAGAAATTTGTGGTCCTTTTCTTGTGAACTGCAGACTCCCTTCATAGGTCCTTTCCTCCTAAATTTATAATCCTACATGGGAAGAGCTGTCTTCTCCTGGTATAGTAAGTATATTCTCTTAGTCTTTCCCCTCATGAGCACAAGATAGCTGCTATATCTCCAGGTATCACATACATTCCAGGTAGGAAGAAGATAAAAGGGGCAATATCAGCCACGCTACTCACTTTATTTAGGAAAGCAAAAGCATTCTCACAAGCCTCCCAGAAAACCTCTGGTGTTCAGAATGGTCTCATGTGGGCACTGCTAGCTATCGGGGAGGCTGGCAAAACAAGAGTTTAGATTTTCCATCTATCTAGTGGAGGTAAGCATGGAAGAAAGGCATTGGCAAAGAAGTTAACAATCAACAATGTCGGCCACAGGGTCTTCCCCAAGGCCCCTGCCCACTTGTCCTCACCATCCCCATCTCCTGGGGAGGAACAGTCCTTGCTTTTCAGAGCCCATTTCTGCTATATCCCAGACAAATGAGCCTCAGCTCTCAGTGGCTTCCTTCATTCCAGTTCTTACAACTGGAATTAAAATTTGGCGAAGATTCCTCCAGTTTCTGGCACAGAGGCAATATCCATCCTTGGTTTCTAGTGCTGCTGCAGCAGACTTTTCCACAGTCATTTATTCTGTTGAGTATTTTAATGAGAATTTATGAACAGGAAGAAGAGTAAAGGGCTCATGCTTGTGATACATCATCACACCCCAAAGTACACTCTCTCTTTGAAAAATACACCATAACCTTCCCCTCGCCAACACTTAAATTATCAGTTAGCTCCCTCATGAGGACGTGAGGACGTAGTAGTTCATAGTGAACTGGAAGGTGCACTGGGGATCAGGATGGGATCTTGAGGGAGGAATGGGGTGAAGGAGGCCTCAGGGGAAAGAAAAGGAGAACTAGGAGGGAAACAAGAAAGTGCCTAATGCCAAGTTCATTAACTTCCATGTCTGTGGCTCAGTGGGCCCTAGGGCATGGCACGAACACTACAGTTGACTTGCTCCTTTGAGCCTATGGATCCGTCTTCTTTCCCCTTGACTCTTTCTTCTATTTTGCTGTCTGGATATTCCTGCTTCTAGCTTCTCCCCTCATTTGATTTTTTCTTAATCCCCATAATATGAAAAATATTTTTATTTAGTTTTTATTTCTCCTTGTTGTAAAAAGAAGAGGAATGTTCTATAAACATTCTTCCAATAAGAAAAAAGGAAATTCATTTTAAATCATGAAGTTCCAACTGGATTTTTCCCTGTGAATCTGCAATCTCCAACTGGAAAGACAAAGTTTCCTTACTCCCACACTAGTGGAAGAAATGACACTATTGAAATGAAGGGGGCTTCATGAGCACAGCAGACTGGAGGGTGGGCGGAGAAGCAGGTCTTCAAGGCAGCCCCCCAAGGAACAGGCACTGCGGGTGTGAAGGGGAAATGGGGGTTGCCACCACTGCTTGGCCCACTCTGGCCTGCCCTCCTTGTGACAGGGAGCAAGGCTGTCCTACTCCAGGACAGCGAGGAAGGACAGAGGTGGCCAGCTGACTAGGATCCTCTGCCTTCCTTCTGACTCTCCAACAAATGGCATGGAGGGGTTATCAGTGGAAAACAAAATGAGCAATTTTCTGTGCCCCATGAAAATGCTGGAGAGACTAAGAAGACTATCCCTGCAAGACTTTTCCTGGAGCATACCTGGGGAATGAAGATGAAGCAGTTGATTGTGGTTGTGCAAACGAAGATGCCTCCAGACGTGAGTCCAAAGACCAGGTTGGGCCAGGAGTGCAAGTATCTGGTGACCACAAAAAGCAGCCCAGCAGCCAGTACCAGGAGGTTGACCCCAACCATGATGGTTAAGGACTGGTTCACAGGAGGAGAGCTGACATGGTCAGTCAGGCCAGCCACGTAGGCACCGTACAGCAGGAGCAGACCCTGGGCAGGGAGGAGAACCAGAGGCTCAAAGGAGTGGAACAACAGGTTAAAGAGCAGTAGGGTTGGAATCCATTTTCTCCTCTGTAAAATTGGGATAATAATACCTGTTTTAAAGGTTGCTATGAGGATTTACTAAGATAATACATAGGAGAACCCTTAGGGCAGCCCTTCATACCTAGTAGGTACTTCGTAAATGTCATTTTCTTCTACTTTACTGAGAATTAGTTTATCAGAAATTGGCAAGTCAGCCATCACACAGGACTCTTCTGGGAGAAGGCACAGGATCGTACAGGTGGGTAGGAGCCCTACAGAAAGCGCTGCTGGGAACTAGGAGGGCAGTTTTGCACAGAGCTGAGAAGGCACGTGGAAGTGGAAATTGACCTGTGGTCTCCTTGTCAAGTCACGTGCCACGGCAGGGGCAGTGCCCGTGCCCAAAGGAAGGGGCTCTTTTTTCTAATTTGCCCAAAGGCACCATCTGCTTGCCAAGCCCTGCACCTGCAAGACTGCATCTGCCTGGAAAGGATGGCTTTTTCTAATTTACACAAAGGCTGTTGATAGGCTAGCAGCGGCTCTGTGCCAGTGAGTGTTCACGGGAGATGAAGGGTGAAAAAAGAGAACAAAGACAGGCTGAGACCTAGGCAAGACTATGGGGAAGGCACAGGCAGCAAAAGCCCCGTCTATACTTTTCACCCTCTGTATGACATTCCCTGCCCCCACCACAAGGATCCCAGGGCCCTATTCTTTCCTCTCTCCCATGAATATAAACCTGCTCTCAGCGTTCTCATTTGTACTAAGGAAAAAATATCTCAGAGCACCCTTAAAGTGCTGCCTCTCCCAGAAATCAAAGTTTTAATCAATAATACACAATATCTAAGTTCAACATATGTTCCCCTTTCTGACTATGTGCAAAGTGTGACACAAAGTGTAGGGCAGAAAACAGTGCTACAAAGAAGACGTCCCGGTCCTGGCTTTTAAGGCACCCAGTCTGGTAGGTAGATTTAAGCTAAGCACACAAATGTCCATGCTCATAACACAGAATGTGAAGACGCCATGGGCGACCAGGTTGGGGTGGGGACCCTGGTTTTCAGAGGGAGACCTAACAAAGAAAGTGAGGTCAGGAATCAGCAGGACACCTGCTGGTGACCCTGAAATCATACAACCTGGCCAACTCCACCTGCAGAGATGGCCCTAAAGATAAGATTTTGGAGAAATGGCTGTGCCAGGAGGGAAGGAGTCAGCATGGCAGAGATGCCTACAGGTGCCCTGGTGTCCCACATGGGGCCAGAGGGCCAAATGGGGCCACGCTGAGATCTGCAACAACCAGAGGACATAAGTCAGGAGGCCAGTGGGGCCTGGCTTTTGGGTAACTGACGCCATCAGGCGGTATTCAGCAGAGCTGGATCATCGGTAATTTAATCAAATGCGAATGAAATTAATTCTATGATTTTGAAATGTTCAAATAGGATTCCATTTAAAGATTTTAATTCCATTAAAATTCTTGTTGAAAGAGGAATAAGTATGAATAAAGTCTCTACACATCCACGGCTCCTCTTTGAGTAAATCTTATCTGACCCTTGCGTGTCATTTGCCTTAACTGCTGAAAAGTGGGAGGCAGGGCGGCGACAGGCTCAGGTGGGGGCCTCAGAACTTAATGTGGAGATTGGGGTCCTCACTGGTCAGGGAGCCAATGGGGTCTGGCTCAGTAAGTTTCCTGATGCTCAGCACTCTTTTCCTTCTTTGTCCTGCAGAGAGACATTCCAGTGAAATAAAATGGAAATGGGAGTATATAAAAGGCAATGGAGAAAATAAATCAAATTGAGTCACAAAATGAGCTGCTGTGGAGGACATGCTAGGTCTCTGGGCTGGGGAGGAAATGTTCTTCTACAGGGACTCAAGGAAGGAAGAGAGTACTGCCTGGGGGCAGCAGAAGAACAACAATAATAATATGTAACATTTATTGAGCTCTTGCTATGGGCCAGGAGGGCTGAAACCCTTAACATGCATGAACTACTTAGAAATCTAGAGTGGCTCTGAGGGGGCATCATCTTGTAAAATGAGGGGGCCCATTTTACAACGAGGGAACTGAGGCTCAGTGAGGTTCATTCAGTGAGGGTCTGGGTCAGCTAGGAAGGGCCTGAGTCAGAATCCAAACCCCGTCTGTCTGTCACATTCTGAAGCTCATTTTCTTAACCATGAACAAGATACTGGTGATCAAGAGCTGTTCATTTCCAAGAGTCTTCTCTTAAAAACATTTCTATCAGAGTAACTTACACACATAAGTTATAAAACAACATTTCCCTGCCCTTGTCCTGCCCAGCCCCAGGCCTGCTCCTCAGAAGCCACCACTTCTAAGACTTTCCTAGTGGTGGAGTGGGTCGAGTTTACCTCTAAAGGCCATCTATTTCTACAAACACGCCGCCTCCTCCGCCATCAGTCAACCAACCAGTCCTCCCTGCCCTGATAGTCAACAGGCAGACTCCCACCACGTAGGGCTGGCCCTGTTCCTTGAAACAGGCCTGCCTATACCCCTCAGAGCCAGTTCTCTGTCCCTCTAGGCTGAAAACTAGCTGTCCTGTTCTGATGACCTGTGCAGCTATCCTGTACCCTCTGGAAATAATATCCTACTTCTCCCCATCTAACAGAGACAAAAGAGTCTAATGATGGGAGATTTGGTGCAGTATGGGAGACACTTTGAGACAGTGGGAACCCCTCAAAGGACACCATGAACGTTGCCATCTGTCTCAGAGCCAGCACTGCTTCCAACTGGAGCAAGAAAGTCAGGTGGGTGAAAGATAGCAGGAATACCTTGACCCAAATCTTGAAGGAACACACATAATAAGGGCACTTAGGAGAACAAATTAAGCTAGGTCAAATGTCTCCTCAGGACTCACCTTGCAGGGGAGCTGGGAAGAAAACTGATATTGCTAAATCCATTAAAAAAACAGACCAAGAAATGGGAGAAACTGTGAGAATTGCAGATGTTTTGGGGAAGGACTGAATGAGGGAGTCCAAAGAGTTGGAAAAGTGACCCTCCCTCAAACCAAAAGTAGGAAAATAAAAAGAGTCATGGCTTTGAGGTTTATGCATCAGCAGAGTTCTCCTCGGAGTTCAAGATTCTTTGTAGACATCACCTCATTAATTCCTGTGATTCCCTCTTCATATCCATTTTGTTGGTGACAGATTGCATCCCAGGGAGACATGGCTACCTACCTTGCAACCCCAAACGAGAGCAATCCAGACATCGGAGTACCGGGAAGCACAGAATTGGGTGCTGGTCAAAGAGCAGGACACGTCTCTCCCTGTCACCTAGGAGGAAGGCTGAGTTAGGGCTGAGGGTGCCCGCAGTTACCAGGAACACACAGCAGATCTCTGTGAACATCCTGGAGCGTGAACTCCGCTACAGCACATGATTTCCCTTTCAGGACGTAAAAACTGTAAGATGGAGGTGACTCCATTAGAGACTGGATGAGAGTGACTGAGTTGAAGGAAAAGACAAAGTCGGGCTGAGCTGTGCATGCCTGCTGGCAGTGGGCTCACTCCTCAGTCACGTGCTCTGCCACCACGGTGATTCAAATTAGTGCCACAGCAAAATTACAAACTATTTCATCATGGACCTGCTGTTTGCCAACAGTCGAAACTTTAAACATGAACATTGCAATGCCATGATTCCCTTGTATTCCTCAGCTTCTTGTGAGGTTGGAGACATACAATAGTTCCTATTCATTGAGCACTATGTACTGGGCACAGTTAAGTCCTTTACTTGCATTGTTTCACTTAATGTTCATCACAGCCCTGTGAAATAGGTAGTATTATTATCTCCATTTTACCTATGAGGAAACAGAGACTTGGAGAGGTTAAATAACTTTCCCAAGGTCACATGGCTGGTGAGCTTGGCAGGGCTGGGATTTGAACCAGGGCTGACTGGCTCCAAAGACCACCTCCAAAAGCTATCTCTACTTTTAGTAATTAGGGGAAGGCAACTGCTCATGGTGGAAAATTATCATTATTGATAATGTGGAAGCAGAGATAACTTCCAGATCCCAGTGTGCTGACATCTCAGTGGAGGCCCACGGAGAGACACTTGGGTGGGAGGGGCAGTGGGCGCGGCAGCACACCCTGCAGACCCAGGGAAGGCGCTCATGGTCGCCCCGGCTGCTGACTCTCCTTCCTCTAGAGTCCTTTATCTTCTTGTTTCAAGGAAGACCCCTGTGTACCCACAGAGACCAGGCCAGTCCATGAGTTAGATTCCTGAGGGGTTGGGCCCCTCACCGTCATGCTGACGCTGAGGATCTGGAGGCACTGGATGGGGTCAGTCAGCACCCAGGTCACGAGCAGGATCACATCAGCCATCACCAGGCCTACCACCAGTCCCAGCAACTGCAGGTCTTTGATAATCTGCAAAAGAGTCAAGGTCAGAACTTCCCCTTGTTTGCTGGCTATATCTTACAAGGGCTAGAGCGTCCCATGTTCTCTGAGCTATAGGCTCTGGGGTCAGCCCTCCCAAGGAGCTGTGAATCCACCCATCAAAGAGGAAACGGACACTGAACATTTGCAATGACTTCTATGTTGATATCATTATTACTAATAAGCATGTCCATTTATTTAACTTTTTCATATCCCACATTTTTCCACAAAGGATTCAAGGTGTCTTATAAAACAAATTGCTTTTGCACCATTGTAAAGTTCAAAAATTTTAAGTCAAACCATCATAAGTTGGGGACTGTCTGTATTTGAGTTAATATAAAGAGAATGTGTTATTTTTTTACTACAAAAATAAAATTAAGAAAAATATATAATGTGACAGGATTAAAGCCTTGAAAAATATCAGAAAGGAGAGAAAATAAGGAAAAATAAGCCTTTATCATAATAAAGACTCAGGTGAGGAGTGTGTGCAGCATTCATTAATCGGGGGGGAAGTGTGGATCTGAGCTGTTGACAACCAGTAAAAGAAAGAAGCACAACCAGTTACATGATTCAAGGTGTCTGTAAGATAAAAACAAATCAGTGGCCTAACCAAACTGTTCAAAACCATATAAAGAGAAAATCTTCAAACAGTGAAAAAAGACACATTATATGTAGAGGAACAAAGATAAGAAAGACATCAGACTTCTCATCAGATACAAGGCCAAGGAAGAAGACAGTGTGGGAACATCTTCAAAGTACTGAAAGAAAAAAAAAAAAGAAAACCTCAATCTAGAATTCTATACCCAGCAATATATCTTGCAGAAACAAAGGCAAAACAAAGACTTTTTTCAGACACTCAAAAGCTAAAAGCTGAAAGAATTCAGCACTAGCACACCCACACTAGAGTGTTAGATATCCTTCAGGCAAAAGGAAAATTACATCAGACAAAATTTCGGATCTATACAGGAAATTAAGAGCACTGGTGGGACAGGGGCCGTGCCACTGCTATAAGCTGCACCATTGAAAAGACCCTGACAGATGCCAAGACGCTGCCAGAGAGGCTGCGGGGGCATGCGTGACGCAGCCTCCAAGTCGCTAGTGGATCAGTCTGAGGCCCTGCACCAGCGGGTGGCAGCTACGTGGGAGGCGGGCACTGTGCTTCCAGACCAGTATCAAGAAGATGCATCTGATATGAAGGACATGTCCAAATACAAACCTCACATTCTGCAGTCCCAAGAGAACACACAGATTAGAGACTTGTAGCAGGAAAACAGAGAGCCGTGGGTTTCCTTGGAGGAACACCAGGGTGCACTGGAACTCATCAAGAGCAAGTACCAGAAACAGATGTTACAGTTAATGGTTGCTAAAAGAGCCATGGATGCTGAACCAGCCCTGAAAGCTCACCAGTCTCATGCTGCAGAAATTGAGTCAGACTGACAGCGTCTGTGAAATGGGAGAAGTGACGAGGAAAGTAGTTCAGGTGGATGATGACCAATTTTGTAAGATTCAGGAAAAGCTAGCCCAATTAGAGCTTGAAAATAAGGAACTTTGAGAATTATTGTCCATCAGTAGCGAGACCCTTCAGGTCAGAAAGGAAAACTCAAGGAACACGGCTTCCCAAGCCATCAAATAACTGAACTCTGATGGCTACAGATTACCTATCAAGGAAGGAAGTTATTATCTTCCCATTCAAGTATCGTCCATTCAATGTCTTGCCTCAAGCTTGATTTAGTATTGGATAAAAGTATTAGGTGGCAAAAAAAAAAAAAAGCACTGAAAATGGTAACTACATGGAAAAATACATAATTAATTTTCATTATTTAAATATCTCTAAAAGATAATTGATTATTTAAACAAAAATAATAAAAATTGTATAAGGCTTATAACATATTTAAAAGTAAATACCACAAAGTCGATCAATACATCCCACCATATTCCAAAATTAACTTAAATGGATCATAGGCCTAAATGCAAAAACTAAAATTCTAAACTTCTAGAAGTTTAGGCACAGGAGAAAGCCTTTTGGGGCCTTCAGTGAGGGAAAAATTTCTGAAATATAATAACAAAATCATGATCCATAAAGAACACATTGGTAAATTGGACTTCATCAAAATTAGAAATGTCTTCTTTTTGAAAGACACTTAAGCAAATTAAAAGAAAAGACAAACTGGAAGAACACCTTTGCAAATCATTTATCTGATAAAGGGCTTGTATCTAGAATATTAAAAAAGAAACTCTCAAAACTCAATAATAAGAAAACAAAAAACCAATTTAAAAAAATGGGCATGAGCAAAAGTGAGACCCCGTCTCTACTATAAATAGAAAGAAATTAATTGGCCAACTAATATATATGGAAAAAATCAGCCGGGCATGGTGGCGCATGCCTGTAGTCCCAGCTACTCGGGAGGCTGAGGCAGGAGGATTGCTTGAGCCCAGGAGTTTGAGGTTGCTGTGAGCTGGGCTGATGCCACGGCACTCACTCTAGCCTGGGCAACAAAGCGAGACTCTGTCTCAAAAAAGAAAAAAAAAATAGGCAAAAGATTTGAATAGTCACTTCACCAGCGAAGATATATGGATGGCAAATACGTGTAAGAAAAGATGCTTAACATTGCATTAAGGAAATGCAAATTAAAACCACAATGAGATACTACTACATGTATCTATTAGAATAGCTAAAATGAAAAAGACTGATCAAATCAAATGTTGGCAAGGATGTGTAGGAAATTGACTCTCATGCACTGCTGGTAGGAATGTATTAATAGAATGGTACAACCACTTTGTAAAGAAGTCTGGCAGTTTCTCAAAAAGTTAAATATACACTTACCATATGATCCAACCATTCTACTCTTAGGTTTTTTTCCCAAGAGAAATGAAAGCATGCATTTACACAAAGACTTGTATGTGAATGTTCATAGAAACTTTATTTTTAATAGCCTCAAACTGGAAACAACCCAAACATCCACCAACAGGTTGAAGAGATAAGCAAATGTGTCTACACATTGGAATACTACTCAGCACTAACAAAGAAACAACTACTGGTGCACACAACATGGATACATAATGATAATATTCATAAAATAATTATGTGAGTTAAATAAGCCAGACAAAAAAAGAGTGCATATTATATTATTCCATTTACATAAAAGTATGGAGAATGGAAACTAATCTATAGTGACAGAAAGCAAATCAATGGGTTCCTGAGGTCAGGAAGGGGTTGGGGGAGGATGTAAAGATTGGACAGGAGAGGGCATGGGGAAGCTTTTGGGGATGATAGGTATGTTCATTATACACCTTGTTTCATGGGTATATATGCATGTCAAAATTTATCAAATCATATACAGTTCATTACATGTCAATTATACCTCAAAAAAGCTATTTTAAAAAAAGCAATCAGTGTTCTAGAGGGATGGATGAATATTTTTGTCCTTTTAGACAATCTTCTTCATATGTATGGTTATTCAGAGCTGAGCTATTGGTAAGTATATCCCATGATTCAATAACATCTGCTTAAAAAAAAAATCCCATCGTTCCAGAGAAGTAAACACCAACTCAATGATAGATTAGGTCTGGGCAACCTTTGGGCGTGCAGCCAAAGAGGCCAATGGTCAGGTGTTGCGGTTTGGCCAGTCCTATCAGGGAAACTAACTAATAAAATGGAGGAATGTAGCTAAGTTGATGCCTGATATCAAGGACATTTAGCAGTCCTCAGCCTTTTTGGCACCAGGGACTGGTTTCATGGATGAAGCTTCACTGGCTGGCCTGCCACTCACCTCCTGCTGTGTGGCCCAGTTCATCAGTTTCATGGAAGACATTTTTTCCACAAACCAGGGTTGGGGCGTGGGGGTGGGGAGCTCAGGCGACGATGCACAGCCCGGTTCCTAACAGGCCATGGACCAGTACTGGGGACCACAGAGGTGATCTGGCTGCCACATAACTTCTGGGGTTGATTCTATCTGCCAGATGGGTGTGATCTCCCTTGCTCACTGCTCTAGGCACACCCTTCTCAGTACAGAGAAGTGCCTTCTACATAGAAAAGAATTAGGCTCCACAGAGGGAAAAAACCCCCCTGCCTGCCAAAACCTTCCGCAAACAACCCGTCTCCCTCCACTTCCAGCTCACCCCTGTGCCAAGCAACAGTCCCTCTGGGTATCTTGCTCTCACCCCAGCACCGGGGACTGGCCAGCTTACACACCTGCAGGAGCAGAGCCCAGGTTCAAAGACCTGTTCTCCGACAGCACTGACCCCCAGCCCTCCAGGCCTGAGGCTTTATGAGGCCACACAACTCCAAGGTTTCAAGTGAGGAGCAAGAACTTCAGATGTCCTAAAAGGAGCGAGGCCCAGAAACCTTCACAAGCTTTTCTAGCTTTTAATCAATAGTGGAGCTGCCATCTGCAACCACGCATTGTGTACTTGCTGCCTACTCACCACTCTCTTGTCCGGGACCCTCTGGGTAAACACCTTGTAGAGTCGCCAGCTCTTTCCCAGAATGGGTCCAAACACGAGGGAGGTCCCGATGCATAGCATGGACAGTCTTATCTACCGGTGGAAGGGGACAGAAGCAAGAGTCATGAAGAGGAACTTTTGGCTCCTGCACATTCTGATCTGCAAAGCCTTGGTTCCACAAGAAGGCAGGGGGTGGAAGGGGGGTCCTCACCAAGTGTTCAGGGATTGCCTCTAACAGTGCCCACACCAAGGATAAAGCTAACTCCCACCCACAGAAGCAGCTGGTTTAAAAAATCATCAAAACTTTTAACTTCAATTAGACACTTTTAAAAAAAATCATTAAAATTTTAGCATTATATTCACAACCAAATTTAAAAATTTTACCTACCTGAATGAGTGTTTCCATTGAGCTCCCCACTGAAACATCTTGAATCCCAAAGAGGTAAGCACTGCTATAAGTCAGACAACTGCCCAGTAAAGTCACAATGTTCAGATTGGGGCTGGACATCTTCACAATCCTAGAGGGGATCAGGGAGAAGGACACAGCCAGGGCCCTTTGCCCTGGGGCCAGTGACCTGCAAGATCGAAACTTCCCCACCAGCGCAGTCTCCAACGCAGCCTCTGAGTGAAGGGCCCCTGGGGAGAAACCACTTTGCAGCCCTGTGAAAACTTATGATTTATTTAAATTTATTTGCAAAAAGAATGAAATTCTGGCACTTCTTCTTGTATAACTTCAAGTCTTTTAAAAGAAGGCTGACTACCTACAAGCAGGTGGCATCAGAGTTAGAATTTTATGCATGAAGTCTGTGGTTGCTAAGGGACTGCTACATGGCACTGAGTGAATAAATAGCCAGCAGGTAGATACCCAGAGAGACGGTTTGGAGCCTTTAGAAATGAGCTGTAAGGTAAATGGCAATTTGGAAAAGGGCTCGGATTTTCTGCATACACTATTCACCTTTTATGTAAATTGTTTTCCTCTTTCTACTTGACCAGGAGAGAAAGAGCAAGCAGGGATCAGAAGCAGGAAATTGGGGACAGGTCTTTCCTGAGTAGTTGTAAATGAGGTTAGAGAGCAGTTTGAAGGTGAGAGGGAGACATGGATGGCCAGGGTCTCAGACAAACCTTGCACAGCAACAGAGGTTTAAGAGTGGAACTGGGTAAGTTAAGGGGAAGATTGGGCTTGCACCGGGCAGTGACTGATAATGATTAATTAAAAGTAACAAGTATCGAGAAGGCACGCAATTATATTTAAGAATTTTGGTCTAAATAGTATACTCTCCATAAATGCAACATTTTTACTAATAGTCATTTGATGATTATATATCAGGGATATATTTGTTATACTTTTATTTTTAAATAATAACTAAGAAGGAAAGCATTCTTATCTATGTCTTTTGATTACTTGGCCAACCACCTCAAAGGCCAGGACCAAGGCAAAACCTTCCATTTAGTGCAGCCTATTTTAATGACAGGCAAATACCTAGGAGGCATTAAACAAGCAGTTTGACGGTACTGGGTCTACAAAGGTCATAACCACCAGGGGCCCAGTTTGGTTACTTTGTGGCTGGTAGTGCAATACCTCCGTGCACACAAGAAGACTCAACAACCGCCCCAGGGCACAGGCCACAAGTACTGTCACCATAGGCCAGTGAATCCAGTTGAGTGTAACCTCATCTTGGAAAGAGGATTTTTTTCTCTTTCTAAAAGGCAAACCAACTTTTATGTACACCCTTTGTAAAATGAAAATAATAATAATAATACCTCCCAACTCCCCAAAGAATTATGAGGATTTATTGTGGCAGTATGGCAAAGTGCTTGGCACATGGCAGGCATGTTGCGAACATTAATTTATGATATTATAATCTCACCATCTTCCTTTTCCAGGTTTTAGAAACCTAGCAATCACCTTTTCCTTCTTCTGTTTATCAGATATACACAATCAATTGCCAAGTTCTCTTACTTCTTGTTTCAAAGTCCCTCTGAGTTTTCTCTAATTCTCCCTTCCTGCCAGTGTGTTTATCCAGGATACAGTCATGTTAGGAGCAATGAACCAGGTGTGACAGGTGGGAATGCTGGCTCTGCCATTTGCAGCTGGGTGACTTCGAACTCTGTTTCTTCATCAGTAAAACAGAGATAATATCTTTTGTATCTACCCCACAGGTTATTGTGAGGATCAAATGAGGTGTGTGACAAAACTCTTGGAAAACTCTAAGGAAGTGCAAAAATATTACTTTTCAGATTTTTGGTGTAAACTTCAGCTCTCTATAACACCTGTTGTTGTTTTTTTTTCTGTTCTAATATACCTTTATCACTTAGCAAAAGAGCTGCATGTATAAAGAACAATTTTCTATTGCTTTCCTTAAGTCTCTTGCATCAAAATTTAAGCTCTATTCTACCATATCCACTTATTCATTCAGGTCTGCCTCCTCCGTCTCAATGCCTCCAATCTGCGGACTTACAGGGAGTGCTCCTCCTTGGTTTCTTTGTTTCTCCACATAAGAAAAGAGAATATGTGGCGAATATTAACTACGGAAGGAAGAACGATGCTAACCAACAGCTTCACAAGGCATTTTTCTTTTTAAAGAAAAGCAACCCATTAAAGAGAGCAGTGCTGATGCCGACTTAGAACAGAGGGCACAGCCAACCTGGGGCTGGCGACTCAGCACCGTCAGAGCTTGGGCAGTGAGTGGCAAACGCAGGGAGCCGGCTCCTGCGAGACCAATAACCGAGGTCCTTCTTCCCCATGGCCACTACCGTGTTCCTACACATAAGCCACAAATATCTCACGTGGTAACCTCCTCACCAAGCAACTGCCTGGGGTTCACAGCCGCGTGTCTATTTTGTCTAGGTCGCTGATGGGTAGGTTTCTCTCTTAATTCTTCTTGGATCCATTTTATTTGAACACCATCGTGCAATCAGGTTTTCTTTGAGTGATGCAGTACTGCACGAAATCCTGACCTAGAATTCCTTGCCTTTCTGATGTAGTTAGGAGGAGCTCAATTTAGTAATTTTTGACAAAATATATATTATATAGCCTTCGCATCTCAGATATTGATGTTAATTCATTGTTCAAATTGACATGCTATGGACTTATATATGTATATTTTGATATTTTTCCTGAACAATTTTACTGAAAACTCACCTCAGGGAAAAAAAAATGAATAGAAGATGATTTCTCTATTTTGTCTGGCCATGTTAACACCTGTGAAGTCACTGAAAGGTGAATCATCTCCAATTCAGCAGGTGAATTATGTATGTCTGGAGACTGTCTTTGCCACTTTGGTAGGAATTAAACCACCAATATCATTTATATTTTTCTATTGAACTAAAGATAATGCCTACAGAGTTGAATATTTTAATCAGCCACAAACACACATAATTTCCAAAAAGCAAGTAGACTTAAGTATTGCATACTTGATTATAAATAGCCAGTACCATCTAGACTGCTTGTGTTCCATTTATGAACATTAAAAGCCTGGATTGGGTTAGCAGCAGTCAGAAACAAGGTGAGTTTTTGGTTTTTTTTTTTAAGTATTATGTAGTTATTTCATTATCACCTCCTCTTCATTTTTGACTGGAAATCTAAGGCAAGAGCGTTCTTGATTTTTCTATTCTCAAGTAAGTTCTCAATACATCTAGATAAATGCCCATCTACAGCTGCAGGCCCTGTATAACCCTGGATTATCATTTCAATAGTCTTCAGTGAATTCACAGACATTTAAGTGTCATCCACCAGCTCAATGCTATGATGTTTTAAAAATATTTATTAAAAATTGGTTTCTGAACTCGGATGTCTAGCAATATTTGGAGTTATTGAGCTTGGAAAGTGGCCTGAAAGTGGGGCAGAAGGTACTTCTTGGTGTGCTGTGACTAACTGTAAACTTTCCTAAGATGTCACAGGACCATGTTTTCTAAAATGCTGCATGAATTGATACTGAGTTTTAACATATTTAAAACCAAATATAAATGTCTGTCTAAAAATCTTTTTAATAAAATGATTAAGATTTAAATTGTGAAAATTTATTTTCAATCCACTGTTTTTGATCCATGCTACAATGGGATTATAAATCTATCTAAAAAAAAAAAACTCCAAACATCTTTATCATGTTACGTGATGTGCTTCAGTAAATCTGATCTTTTGCTGTCTTTTACTTATTTCTAATGTATTAATCAATCTGAACCCAATTCAAATTCTGCACACCTCAAACTAATATTAATGTGACCTCTAGCCATTTGCATTTACACTCTTTATTGTAAGGGCTGGCCCTGCTCCTTCCTCCCCTGCCTGGGCCACCATCCTAGTAGACTATCCTAGGAGATTTCATTAACCTTTCAACCTCCAGAGTTCTAGATTCTTTAATCATAATGACTTCACTTTATTCCACTTCAGAGAGACACCCATCCTCAAGTTACACCCTGGATCTCAAGATCTTTCAGAATGGATCCACCTCAGGAATGAACACCAATATCACACTCTTTGACTACAATCCATCAAAAAGGTAACCCCTCATCTTCTCCCTTAACTTCCCACATTCTTCCCCCATTCAGATAATGGCAAGTCCATCTTTCCGTTTGCTTGGATCAAAAAACCTTGGAGCCATCCTGACTCTAGCTCACCACCCACATTTGATCTGTTGTGAAATCTTGTTGGCTCTATCCTTGAAATAATGCAACTACTTCTCACCACCTCTGCTGCCACCACCTGATCAAAGTCTTACTCTGCATTTCTCATTTGGATTATTGCAACAGCCTCCTCGCTGGTCTCCCTGCTTCTACCCTGGAACTTCCTGAAAGTCTATTTTCAACATAGCAGCCAGTGTGATCCATTAAAGACAAATCAGATCATGTCACTTCTCTGCTCAAAATCCCACAATGGCTCTCCATTTGTGAGAGGAAAATCCAATCTTTACCAGGGTCTACAAAATTTACACATTTGGTCCCCGTTATTTCACTACCTAATTTCCTACTTCTTCCCATGCCCACTCCACTCCAGCCACACGGCATCCCTGCTGTTGCTTGAAAACACCAGGTACTGAGATACTTCAAGGCTTTGAAGTGGCTGTTCTCTCTGCCTAGAATATTTCAATCCACGTGTCTGCGTGGCTCATTCTCTTTCTCCCTTGATTTCTTGTTCAAATGTTACTTTCTCAAGCAGGGCTGTGATGACAACCCATTTAAAATTATACTATTCCCCCAGAATTCTGAATCCTTTTTATCCTGCTCTATTCTCTCCTTTCCCATCCCACCATAGTACTTAAAACCTTTGAACATATTACATAATTGACTTGTGTATTATTATTGTTGTTGTTTATTGTCTTCTCCTCCCAATTAGGATTGTTCATGGTATACTCCCAGCACTAGAACACTACCTGGACATTGGAGACACTCAGCAGACACTTGACGAGTGGACGAATAAGTCTCCTAGCCTCCAACTCTCTCTCTCGTGCTCGCTCCTAACTCACTTGCTTATTGACAGCTTACAGCCTACATATCTAGGTACTTGGGTTTTTGCTTCCCC